CGAGCTATATTGGTCCACAATATCGTATAGCGACTATAAAGTGTCCGCCATATAACGGTACCTCCCTATATTCGGTATGATTTCAGCTACATTTTTCAATGGAATTGTCTAAAAATCCATACTAGAAGTTCTTTCTAAGCACTTTATCCCTTGGGAAAGATATGTCTATATAGGTCCACGATATTGTATAGCCCACACATAACAGTACCCCACGATATTCGATATTTTTTGAAGATTTTACGAACATTATTCATCGGAGTTGTTTCAAATTTCGTAGAGTTCGTAATGGGTACTACAGCCTATGACAAAAAAATTGCGTATGCAGGCCCACATCTTCAAACAGCCTTCATATGACGGTATCTACCAATATTCGGTATTTTGATGATTGTAGCTAAATTTTTTAATGAAAATCCACACAAGGAATTCCTTCTGGGTACTTTACACCCTGGAAGAGTGTTGTCTATATAGGTCCATGATATCGTGCATCCCCTATATAACAATACCTCCCTATATTCGGTATTTTGATGATTTTAGATAAATTTTTCAATGGAATTGTCTGAAAATCCACAAAAAAAGCTCTTTTTTAACACTTTAAGAGCATTGTCTATAGGTCCACAATATCGTATAGCCAACATACAGCGGTACCTCCCAATATTTGGTATTTGTTGTTTTGAGTTGTTTCAAATGTCGTATTTAGAGTCGGTAATGGGAACTACAGTCTATGACATGTCTATGCGGGTCCAGGTCTTCGTATTGGCCCCATATATCAGTACCTCCCTACATTCTGTATTTTGACAATTTTACGTACAATATTCACCGAAATTGTTTGAAATTTCGTATTTGAAGTTCCTAATGGGTACTACAGTCTATGAAAGAAAATTGTTTATGCAGGTTCATATCTCAAGGTACCTCCTTATATTTTGTATTTAAATGTTGTAATGGCTTATGACAAAAGTTTGCATATGCAGGTCCACGTATTCGTAGAGACCCCAATATAACGGCTCTATTCGATATTTTTAAGATTTTAACAGAATTTTTAACGCGTTTTACTTTTTGGAAAATTTCCAAAAATCAGCTAAGTTCGGCCGGACCGAACTTTGAATACCCTCTACCATTTTGAAGGAACTTGAAAAATTTCCAAAAACAGAAAAATTCCGTTAAAAAAATACAGCTCAAAGGGAAACTGTTGTTTAGGGCGTGGTCGTGGTCCTGCATGTCAATTTTTTGTCATAGGCTGTAGTGCCCATTACGAACTTTAAATACGAAATTTAAAAAAATTTCAATAAAAAAATGTGCCTTAAATCATTCGAAAAGCGAATATCGGGAGCTATACGATATCGTGGTCCTATATAGAGAATTATCTTCCAAAGGGTAAATTATTCATAAGGAACTCCTTGTGTGGGTTTTCAGATAATTTCATTAAAAACTGAGACTAAAATCATCAAAATATCGAATATCGTTATATTGGGAATATACGATTTCGTGGACCTTATATGTGGTGCCGTTATATATGGCCTGTATATAGCGTGTATTTCTCCCATAAATCATCAAAATACCGAATATCAAGAGGTATCGTTTATGGGGGTCATACGATACCGTTCACCTACATGGGCAATTCCATTTCAGGGGGTAAAGTACGCACAAAAACCTCCTTCTGTAGAATTTTAAATATCGTCGACAAGTATAGCCCACCTTCGAACTTGACCTGCCTGAAGATAAAAGACTAATCTGTGTAAAATGTTAGCTTCCTATCTTAATTCGTTTTGACTCTAGCTTGATAACAACAAGCGGACAGGGCTAAATCGTCTTAGAATTTAATATGCCCCCTTTACTTAATATACCCTCCATACTATGTGTAGTATAGGGTATAAAAATCATGCACTCAAAGTTTAAGTTTGATATAAATATTATCCTTACGATTTATTTAGCCATACTTTAACTATGCAATCAAATGTAAACGAAAATTATGCTTAAAATTAAAATGTCTCAAAGTATGTGATCACCAAACGTTAACAAAATTTTATTCATATGATCCCTAAAGTATGCAATAGTTTTTTATTTGGAAAAATCTCCCCATATAAACCTTTAAGTAAATTTATTCCCAGTATTTTTGAGGTGAATAAAATGATTTAAATTTGTTGGTTTATAATAAGGGTGGATTTGTTGTGTGTTGTATTTGAAATATTGTTAGAGGTAAATAAACATGTATGGAAAGGCATAGGTCGGTCGGTGTTAATTGCGTATTAAGGCTTTAGAGTGATTTACATTTAAAATAGGTCAAAACTATCCTATAAAATCGATTTTCACTAATCGATTTCTACTAAACATGACTGCAGTGACCTCTCCAACAAAACATCTTGCCGTGGAGTGCATGTTATGTCTTTCAGAATAGTTAAGTATAAAACCGAATTAAACAACTTAATTTGATCAAAAGTAACGCCCTTGATGTATTAATTTTATCATATAAGACGGTAATATATATGGGAGATATATATTCAAATCTGGACCGATCTCGACAAAAATTTGCGAAACTTATTTTTATCATGTATTCAATATCTTGCTATGGGGGGTATTATACGGATTTGGGTTATTTAGATATACAATCAGATGAAATATATATGGGAGCTATAGCTATATCTGAACCGAAATGGAGCACACTTGATTCTAGGCTACATATGCAAGTCTCTGCCAAAATTCTTCTCATTTGGGCTAATATTACACATTTGGCGAACAATATACTTGAAATCGAACGAAGATATATGGTAGTTGTATCAGAATATGAACCGATTACGATAAAATTTCGCTGAGGTATTATCGAGCTGTATTTGATGCCCGGTATCAAATATCATTGTTGTGGAGTGCCTATTACGCATGTGAGGTAAGGGTATTATATCTTTGAGCATTTGTTTGCAAAAATGGAGAAGGAAGCGAGATAGAACCATAGTTACTTACGAGGATCTTCATAGAATCACATTCTGAGACAATTTATGCATGTCAGTCGCTCCGCCCATCTGTCCATGTGTTCTTTTGAACGAAATGCAGGCCGCAGTAATTATCCGATTGAGATGAAATTTTCACAACCATTATTTATTTGGCCAAAGGACGAACCCTATTGAAATTGGTGGAAATCAGTTCAAATTTAGACATGGCTCCCATACCGACTTTTCGTTAATTGTACAGCAAATGGCCAATATCAGCACAAAAGTCCTGAATTTTGGCACATCCGATCGAATTCAGTCTAGAAGCAAGTACATCGAATTCCGAGAAAGTCGGTTCAGATATAGTTATCGCTCTCATATATAGGTTTCATCCAATTTCGTGTTTTAGTCCCTCACATTTGTAATGTGCACCCCACAAGAGATGATATTTGGTACCAGATATTAGATACAACCCAGAAACACCTCTGCTAAATTGTATCAAGATCGGTTTAGATTTGGATATAGCTCCCATATATATCATCAACCGATTTTCGGTTAATTGTGCACCAAATGGCCAATATCGTTCCAAAAGACCTGAATTTCGGCACATCCAACCGAATTCAGCCTAGAAGCAAGTACATCAAGCGAAAAAAATATATGCTATATATTTCATCCGATTTGATGTTTAAGTCCCTCACATTCGTAATATGCACCCCACAAGAGATGATATTTGGTACCAGATATCACATACAGCCCAGAAATACCTCTGCCAAATTTCATCAAGATCGGTTCAGAGTTGAATATAGCTCCTAAATATATATTCAACCCATTTCCGGCTAATTGTGCACCAAATGGCCAATATCAGTCCAAAAGACCTGAATTTTGGCACATCCGACCGAATTAAGTCTAGAAGCAATTGCGTCAAGACCCTCATATTCGAAATGTGCATTGGACAAGAGAAATCGGCTATGATTTAGATATAGCTCCCATATATATCCTTAATCCGATTTCAGGTTTATTGTGCAAATAATGGCTAATATCAGCCCAAATGGAGTGAATTTCAGAACGTATCTTTCCATTTGGTGGGACTCGGCTCCGATATATATATTTATACCCTCCACCACAGTATGGTGGGTACATAAATAAACTTCTATGTCGATTTAACGATGTCCGTTCGTCTGTGGAAATCACTCTAGCTTCCAAACGAAGTGAAATAAGTTGGTAAAATTTTACTCCAATGTATTATATCTCTGCAGGACTTCTGGTATTGAAAATGGCCATAAAGGTCCCCATATAACGGTACCTCCCTATATTCAGTATTTTGATGATTTTAGCGACATTATTCACTGGAATTGTTTTAAATATGGTATTTGAAATTCGTAATGGATAGTACAGCCTATGACAGAAAATTGTCTATGCAGGTCCATGTCTTCGTATAGCCCGTATATAACGGTACCTCCCTATATTCGGTATTTTGATAATTTTAGCGACAATATTCACTGGAATTGCTTCAAATCTGGTACTTGAAGTTCGAAATGGATACTACAGCCTATGACAGAAAATTGTCATTGCAGGTCTACGTTTTGGTGTAGCCCCCATATAATAGCACCTCTCTATATTCGGTATTTTGACGATTTTAGCTATATTATTCGCCGATTTTTTTAAGTTTGGCATTTGAATACCGTAATGGCTTTTTTTTTTGAAAATTGTCAAATTTATTCTAAATGGTGGAGGGTATTCAAGGTTCGGCCTGGCCGAACTTACAGCTTTTTTTTCTTGTTTTTATATAATCCTTCTCGAAGTAATATCATGAACTCTATAGCAATGTTATTTAGTATAAAAAGTTAAAATGTCTCCACCAAATTTAGTGAAAATCGACTCAGAATTGGATATGTCTCCCATTCCCTTCCCCTCCCCTTCCCTCTGAAACCAAATTATATCTGCTCTAAAGCCAAATGTTAATGGGTGCTATGATCTACTTCAAATAAATTCTTTTGTTACGGGAGCTCTACTAAATATGCATAGTGGTATAGGGTATCATGTAGTAGGCCCCGACCGACTTTTGACTTTTCCTTACTGATCATTTTACTATAAATGACATGTATATTTTCCTATATAAATATCGAATACGATCCTTATCATAAATAATATGAATTGTAAATAATTAATTTATACTACTCTGATGAAAAATATTAAGACAATGGAACATCTTCCAAGCTTCGCAATTTATGATGGACGGTTTCAGCCTTGACCTCACGTCTGAAAACCATTTTATAAGCGAATGCTGTGATTATGGCAGCAGGCAAAGGACCAATCCAATAAACCCAATGCCTCGTGAAGTTGTTGTTCCACAATGCAGGACCAAAGGAACGGGCTGGGTTCATACTGGCACCGGTAAAGGGACCCTTGAAAATATACACATAAAATAATATTTTTCTATGAAATAAAATAAATATTTAAATTAAATTACTTACAGCCGTCAAAGCCAAACATGCTATGGCCAAGCCAAACTTAATTGGCACAGAATCTTGATATTTTGCATTTCGTGGATCCCAGACACCACAACAAGTGATAATCAAAACTGCGCTTATTACGAATTCTACTAGGCAAGCTTGTCCAGCAGTCACATCTGGATGGGGGGTTGTTACACACAATCCACTCGAGAAGGTATTTAAGGCACTTTCAGGCAACGCAATCTTCAGCAAACCATACCCTATGATACTTCCCAACATCTGGCCACAGAAGTAGACCCCAACCATGGGTGCTGAAATTATTCCATAAATATAGGCGGCAATGGAAACAGCTGGATTCAAATGAGCCCCAGAGACACAACCAAAACATTGTATCACCACCATGACCACAAAACCGAAACTCAAACACATTTGCAGGTTACTATTGGGGAAGAAATCGGTGCTCACACAACCCATACAGCCCAAAAAGATCATGATGGCTGTACCCAAAAGTTCTGCCATAAATGTACATATTTTATCCAAGGTATCCGACTTTAGTTTCAGTTTTTCTCGTGCATTTTTAAAGCAACTGTAAATAAAAGAAAAACACAAGTATTATAATTTAAAATTTTGTTAATTTTATAATTTGCGCTTATGTGGTATAGATTATTATTCCGGCCGAAACATATGACCCTACCTACAGAAGAAAGACCTCTTGGTCCTTGAAAAATATTCTTTAAAAAATCCAAGATTTTTAGTTTCTTGGTTCTTGAAAAATATTCCTTAAAAAATCCACGATTATTAGACTCTTGATCCTTGAAAAATATTCCTTAAAAAATCCACGATATTAGTCTCTTGGTCCTTGAAAAATATTCCTTAAAAAATCCACGATTGTTAGACTCTTGATCCTTGAAAAATGTTCCTTAAAAATCCACTATTGTTAGAATCTTGATCCTTAAAAAAATATTCCTTAAAAAATCCACGATTATTAGTCTCTTGGTCCTTAAAAAATATTCCTTAAAAATGCACTATTGTTAGACTCTTGATCCTTGAAAAATATTCCTTAAAAAATCCACGATTATTAGTCTCTTGGTCCTTGAAAAATATTCCTTAAAAAATCCACGATTGTTAGACTCTTGATCCTTGAAAAATGATCCTTAAAAAATCCACGATTGTTAGACTCTTGATCTTTGAAAAATATTATAGTCTCTTGGTCCTTGAATAATATACCTTAATAAATCCAGGACTGTTAGTCTCTTGGTCCTTGAAAAAATATTCCTTAAAAACTCCACGACTATTAGTCTCTTGGTCCTTGAAAAAATATTCCACACAAATCAACGATTATTAGTCTATAGATCCTTGAAAATATTCCTTAAAAATCCATGACTATTAGTCCTTTGGACCTTGAAAAATATCCCTTAAACATCCAAGACTATTAGTCCTTTGGACCTTGAAAAATATTCCTTAAAAAATCCACGACTATTAGTCTCTTGGCCCTAGAAAAATATTCCTTAAATATCCACGATTATTAGTCTCTTGATCTTTGAAAAATATTCCACAAAAATCAACGACTATTGATTTGTTGTTTCTTGAAAAATATTCCTTAAAAATTAAGGATCATTGATTGGTCCTAGAGAAAAATTTCTTAAACAATCAAGGATTATTGGCATCCTGGTCCTAGAATTTTTTTTTTCAAATAATAAACGATTATTGATCTGTTGATCCTCAATAAGTATTTATTAAAAAATCAACGATAATTGGTCTATTGGTCCTTGAATATTTCTTAACGAATCAAGGGTTATTGGACCGTTGGTCCTTAAGAAATAGTGAACGATAGGAGTGTAGTATTTAGATATGAAGGAAGTTTACGAAACTTGTACTTATGTGCACCAAAAGTACTATATGGTACTAAATTTGCACAATTTCTATTTGAGTGAACCGATAGGACCGAATTTTGGGAGAATCCTGAAAGTTGGAAATACGATTTTTTTTGGATTGTAGAACTGAGGAATGTAGGTAGTTGTGGAAATTCCTACACATGTGTACTAAACAATACTAAATTTGGTACAAATGGTAGTAAATTTAATACAATTTGAATTGTGGGTGAACCGGTAGAGTTACAATCCTGAAATTTTAAAATAAGATTTCCATTGGTGGGTAGTTATGGAAATTGGTAGGTAGTGTACTAAATGGTACTAAATTTGTTACAATTTGGATTTGGGTGAACCAAAATTACTGAAAATTTGAAATAAGATTGCTGATGGAGTATTATATTGGGATATATGTTTAGTTTTGGAATTGTTTACTTATGTGTACTAAAATTTACTAAACAAAGAAAATTTGGAAAATTTGAAAATTTGTATTTGGGCGAACCAACTGGGATGGAATCCTAAAATTTGGAATTGGGATCACTAAGGGAGTGTAGGATTGGGTTATGTAGGAAGCTTTGAAAATTCGTACTTAAGTGTACTAAATGGTACTAATTTTAGTACAAATTGTGATGAGCAGATGGAGCTGGAATCCTTAAATTTGGCACCAAAGGTTTATTGGAAATTGGAACTTCAAATTTATGAAATTTTCTAAAATGATTCTAAACTTCTAAAATGGTACCATTTGGTATTATATGAACGGATAAGACTAATAACTTGAAATTTTGTATGAGAATCAAGGTTGGAAAGTAAGATTGATATATGAAGGTGGTTTTGGAAATGTTACTACACATTTCAAGGAAATGTCCTAAATGGTACTAAATTTGGAACAGCTTGGTTTAGTGTGAACGGATGAAACTGCAATTTTGTATTGGGATTCCTGTTGGTAGTAGGTTCGAAATAAAGAGGTGGGTTTAGAAATGAGTACAACAAGCTCACGAAAAGTACCGGATAGGACTAGGTTTGGCACAATTTAGCTTTGGTTGACAGATAGTGCTTTAAATTTGACATTATTGTCGCTGTTCATGTATAGCCTGGACATATGGAAGTGATTGCAGAAATGTGTACTTTAATTGTACGAATAGTACTGAGTGCTACTATACTTGGAATTGGGATAGAGATAAAATTCTGAAATTTGATATTAAAATTACTAAAGGTATTTGTGTTTGAGATATGGTGGTGGTGGCTTGGAAATTCGTTCTATATTTGTACGAAATATAGTAAATGGTACTTTGATATTGAGATCTGTGTTCGGAACCCGGCATTTGATTTTGAGTCTTCTGTTGGTCTCTGGAATTAAGATATGGTTTTGGATATTGCACGAAAAGTACTAAATAGTACTAAATTTGATATTGGGAAAGGGATAGAGCTGAAACCGCTTAAATTTTATATTGCGATAACTGTTGGTCTCTATGAATATGGTTTTTGGCTGTTTTACAAATGAGTGCTAAAAGTACTAAATAGTACTATTATACTATTATATCATTGGATAACGCTGGAATAGCGCTAATTTGATATTGAGGACTCTGTAGGTATTTGGATTTGACATATGATGGTGTTTTTGGATATGCATACTGTAATTTAAAAAAAAAGTACTAAATAGTACCAAATGCGGTATTGGGCTAAGGAAAAGAGCTAAAATCCTGTAACTTGAAATAATTGTTACTGTTGGTGTCCTCTATTTGCATGAAAAGTATTAAATGGTACTCAAATTCATATTAGGTGAAAGGATAGGGCTGAAGTCCTCAAATTTGATATTGAGGTCTCTGTTGGTATCTGGAATTGAGATATGGAAATGGTTTTAAAAATGTGTACTATAATTGTACGAAAAGTACTGAATGGTAATATATTGAGGGAATCTATGGAGCTGAAATCCCAAAATTTAATATTGAGGTATCTCTCATAGTATCTTGTCTTGCGATATGAAGGTGGTTTTTGGAAATATGTACCATAGCTGTACTAAATGGTACTAAATTTGGCAGCAGAACTGAAATTCTGAAATTTGATATTAAGGTCACTGTTGGTATCTAAGGTTGAGATATGGAGATTCTTTTGAAAATGTGCACTATAATTTTTCCAAAAGTACTAAATTTTCTATTGGTTGAAGGGACAAAGTTGTAATCCTCAAATTTGATTTGAATTTGTAGTACCTACTAATGCAAATATCCGAATATCAAACTTTATTAATTTCCTTTCCTTTATTGACCACATACAATTTTTATACCCTCCACCATTCGATGGAGGGTTTATTAACTTTGTCATTCCGTTTGTAACTCCTCGAAATATACATTATAGACCCTACAAAGTATATATATTCTGGGTCAGCGTAAAATTCTAAAACGATCTAGCGAAGTCCGTCTGTCTGTCTGTCTGTCTGTCTGTTGTAATCACTCTATCTTTCGAACAAATTGAGAGAGGAGGCTAAAATACATTTGCATATATGCATAGTTCACCAGTAGACAGGCTAAGTTTGTAAATGGGTCATGTCGGTCCAAGTTTTCGTAGAGCCCCCATATTATTTACCGGAATTATTTGAAATTTCATATTTAAAGTTCGTAATTCGTATAGGCCCCATATAACGGTACCTTCCGATAGTCGGTATTTTGACGTTTTTAACAATATTATTCACCGGAATCGTTTCAAATTTCGTATTGAAAGATCTTAATGTAGGTCCACGACTTCGTATGTCCCCATATAACGATTTTCATTTAAGTGGTATTTTCCAGATTTTTTTTTTTAAATTTTTCAGGTTCCTTCCAAATGGTGAAGGGTATTATAAGTTCGGCCAGGCAGAACTTAGATGCTTTTTTACTTGTTTTAGATTTTAGCCTCAGTCTTGTCATCTGGGCATTCAGTCTCTTTAATGCAGCACTTGTATGACTATTAAGCCAAGTTCAAGGTTATTTTTCAAATAATTGCTGTGATGGCAACACTGCTCTCTCTCTCTCTCTTTCCCTCTCTCTCTCTCTGACATGCAATATCATTTCTTGTACCACGTATATACATCCAATTGGAATTTTTCCAATATTTCGTGGTATTATCTAAAATTAAAGATTTATATCTTAATTCAGTTCACTACCACCTTGGCAATAGCCAGGGCAACGCACGAGTAGCAAAGAAATATTTGTTTTAAACAATTTTTTCCAGTTAAAACAACTTTTTTGGTTATCTTCAGACAATGTGGAGTGCTTTTCAAACCGTCAGTTTATCATTTATTAACGATCAAAATAAGTAATATATAAATAAATATTGGCAATGGCTGGAATTTTGTGGATGGCCATGTTAATATGTCTGCCATTCTATTAGACTACCTAAATAGACGTCATGATGGACGATATATTTTCAAAATTGTAATCATTTTTATATCACAGGGTTATAACACTTTATTTTCATTGACACTTTGAAAATTTGTTTTATTTATTTATTTATTTATTTATTTATTTATTTTTTTTTTTTTTTGTTTGGAAATTTTCAATGACATTTATGAAAACTAAGCCCACCTTTTAAACGCTTCATCTGCTTTCATTTTTCGTTTCAAAAAAAAAATAAGACAACAAAACCGGAATTTTTCTTTCAAAATCAATGAATGTTTTTGTTGTGGTTGGTAAACTCTTTGGCAATGAGACAACACTTGTCGTTTTTCCCGCTTAAAAAATCTCTGACTTCCTTACATCTTAAGACCACAATTGAAACTGTGTGTGCGGCGCATTTGTCTGCATTGCAGTCTGCAAGAGAATTCCGATGAAATATTACAAACTTGTTGTGTGTTTTGTGACCATCACCAAATGCATTTTGTATCTTTGAATGGCTAAAAAATTTAATCTTGGAATTCCATAAAGCCTAGGTACAGGCTTACGCTCTCTCTCTCTCTCTCTCTCTCTATTTCTCTCCCGCAATGGATACCGGTGTCGTGGTTGTATTACAAGAATTTCTTGATTCATGTTCTGTGTCAGAGGAATGTGCGTTGTGTGAGGTGCATGTCAATGAACATATATACATACATACTTATATTTGTTTAACGGAATAATAGCCATTGGCGTAGTTTTTTAGATTTTGCTAAAATTTGAGTGCCCCTTCAACAAACTTTTCATTGGCACCAAATAAGTACCCTGAATCTTCAGAATCAAGTGTGATAGGAAGTAGTAACGAATCGCTGACTTGTTTCGCAAGTTACGACAGATAACATTATTGAACCAGTAAAGAACGTCTTAAAGTCGGGCGGGCCGACTTTATGATACCCTACACCACTTTGCTAATTTAGTAGAACACCGCATAACAATTAAAAGTTTTTACGGGAGAATTCAATCATACACGCAATGATTATAATTATAATTTAAAGTTCAAAAGACTAAATATGCCAAAGCATTTGTATCTTTTAAGTTCGGACTTGTATTTGTATTGGTGCACAATTAATTTGGTGCACAATTAATTTGAAATCGGATAAATATATATATATGGGAGCTATATCCAAATCGGAACCGATCTCGATAAAATTTGGCAAAGATATTTCTGAGCTGTATTTGATGTATTTCCCTGCATATCGTTGTTACGGAGTGCATATTACGGCTGTGGGTAACAAATATAACAAATCGGATAAAGAGTATATATGGGAGCTATAGCTATATCTGAACCGATCTTCACCAAATTTGACATACTGGCTTCTAGACTCAATTCGGTCGTAAGTGCCAAATTTTATCCCATTTGGGCAAATATTAGAGGTGGTACACAATCAAAGGTAAATCGGACGAAGTTATATATGGGAGCTATATCCAAACCTGAACCGATCTCGATATAATTTAGCAAAGGTATTTCTGAGCTGCATTTGATATATTTCTCCAAATATTGTTGTTACAGAGTGCATATTACGGCTGCGGAGGACAAAAATAACAAATCGGATGTACAATATATATGAGAGCTATAGCTATATCTGAACCGATTTCGATCAAATTTGGCATACTTATTTTTAGGTCCAATCTGATCATACGTGCAAAATTCCATACCATTCGGTCTGATATTACACGTTTGGAGCACAATAAAAGGCAAATCGGGCGAAGATATATATGGGAGCTATATCTAAATTTTGACCGATTATCTCCAATTTCAATAGGGTTCGTCCTTGGGCCAAACAAATGATTTGTGCAAAATTTCATCTGGATAGGGCAATAAATGCGAACTGTACTTTGTTTACAAAAATACATGGACAGACGGAAGGACGGACGGACATGTATAAATCGGCTCAGAATGTGATTCTATGCAGATCATCAAAAGGAACTATGGGTCTATCTCGTTTCCTTTTGCCTGTTACAAACAAATGCACAAAGACACAATACCCTGACCACCTTGTTGTGTAGGGTATAAAAATGTGTTATCTTGGACCCCATATGGGGGAGCCACCAGAAGAAATGGTCCGATCTCTAACATTTTTATAATATATCTTGTGTTAATGGAAATATTGGAATGTAACAAGTCTGAATGGAATCGGATGTTAATTTTGTGTTTTATGAGCTCAATGGATATTTAAAATCGTTACCCTCTGTAAGGGAGGTACTAGAACTGGAACCGATATATTCCATATCCACATCAGACCTTGGTTTAATAAAAATATTGTGATGTGTGTAATTTGAAGACACTCGCGCTGTTACATCACATGTTATAAGAGTTATAATTCAAAATTTTGAATCTTTGTGGGGGACGTTCATGATAGAGTGGACCGATATTACTCATCTCCAAGCTCTATCTAAATTTGACAATAATATTACGATGTACCAAGTTTGGATCAAATCGAATACTCCCTTCGAGGGTTATGGTGCTCACAAGCAGCCAGACAGACGGACGTCGCTAGATCGACTCCAAATGTCCTGAAACGGATTTAGTCCAAAGAGACCTAGGGTCTAAACCAGTTATTTCTGTGAGGCACGTTTTGCCGTATCAAATGATATATACTCTCTTTAGCCATATGGCTGTGGGTATAAAAAAAAAGTATTTCTCAAGAAGAAGTTCTTTTCTTCATAATCACTGTAGAATCCACATTATCTGCAACCAAATTAGCAGAAACTTGACAATAGGGGTTCTCGGTAGGTTTATACTCTTCTTGCAAAAAATATTTGATTCAGGGCCTCAATTCTTGTTCTATGAAAATGCGAAATGGAAACTTTTATAAAGGAAAGAAATGTCAAATGAAAAATTTTATAAAGGAAATATTTTTTCATTTCATATTTTTATAGAACAAGAATCCAGCCCCAGGTCCATTACTTGGTATAGCCCCCATATAACGGTATAACGGCATAGCCCTCATATAACGGTATTTTTGAGATTTCTGACACAATTTCTAACCAAATTACCTGAAACTTGACAATTGGGGTTCCCGATAGGTCTGTTCTCATTTTGCGAAAATATTCGATTAAGGTCCGCTAATTGGTATATCCCCCGTATAACAGTTCCACCCATTTTATTGTAATAGAAATTTGCATATACAGGTCCACATTTTCGTATAGGTCATATTTAAATGTATGTAACTTTATTCGGTATTTTGACGATTTTTCAATTATATCATCTTTATCAGCCGCTTATTTTGATCTAATTATCACCCAATTTAAACCTAAATGATAATGCAAATAAATCGGCACATTAAAGCGGCATTAAGACGTTTACACGGGCTTAAACGCAAATCAATCAAAATCAATTAACACCTTGAGAACAATTGCAAACGAGCCGAATGAGTGAAACATGTGTCGGCGGGTATTTAATAGATTAAATAAATAACAGCGAAATGGTATGGAATGTGATGTACATAAATCGTATGTATTTTTTGAAAAGTAGATCAACGATCTTTACTCACAGGTAGTTCTCAAATTTAGGAAATAATTTAGTTGTTTGTCTTGGGTACGAGATTAATATTTTGTATCTAATACCAACAAATATTTGAAGCCAGACACTTGGGCAAATATTTTCAACCAAAATACAATATGCTAGACAAAAGTTTACATAAATAATTAACTTAAACATAATAGCATGAATGGAAATTTCTGATTAAGTAATATTTTTTTATAAATATTTTTATTCTCGCCTACATCAAAATATGATATTTTTTGCTTAAAAGGTTCTACATCACACAAATATACCACTAATACTTAGACTACGGATTTATATAACCGACATCCGTTCATCAGTCCATGTATTTGTACCCCACAACGCTATGGTGTGAGAATATTTTAAATTTGCTTAGGTCAAACAATTTTTAACACCTCGAAATAATTTGAACTAATCCCTGTATTTTGAAGTAATTTTTATAGCCAGTAATATTAAAAACTACAGTTAAAAATATATCTAATATTATGTATTGGCAGCGACAGTAAAGTTTGACTTTTTGAAAAGATGTATCACAATTCCTCAACTACGAAAACAAAAATATATCACTTGCTCTCGGAAAACCTAGAATGGCAAATAAAAACTGAATAGCTCGAAAAGTTAGATGCACACATTAAATAAATTCAAAACAGGAGCGAACTTTTCAAAGTGGCGCCCAATCAAGCATAAGGTTTTTAATACCTCGAAACATTTTACAACAATTCTTGTATATTAAAATAATTGGTATTATCAGCAAAATTCAAACAAGTAAACAAACCTGTAAGTTCGGCCGGGGCGAACTTTGAATACCCTCCACCATTTTGGTACAAATTTAGCAATTTTCAAATAATTAAAATCCGTTAAAAATTCTGTTAAAATCTTCAAAAATACCGAATGCAGCCGTACATTAGAGTCTATACGACAACGTGGACCTGCATAGGCAATTTTTGTCATAAGCTATTACAATATTCAAATGCGAAACTTGAAAAATCTGTTTATAATGAAGCTAAAATCATAAAAACACTGAATATCAGAGGGTACCTTTATATGAGTGCTATACGAAGACGTGGACAGGCAATTTTCTGTCATAGGCTGTAGTATGCATTACGAATACCAAATTTGAAATAGTTCCGGTAAATAATGTCGCTAAAATCATCAAAATACCGAATATCGGAGGGTATCGTTATATGAGGGCTATATGAAGACGTGAACCTGCACAGACAATTTTCTGTCATAGACTGTAGTATTCATTACGAATTTCAAATACCAAATTTGGAACGGTTCCGTTAAATAATGTCGCTAAAATCATCAAAATACCGAATATCGGGGGGTACCGTTATATGGGGGCTATATAAAAATTTGGACCTACATGACCCATTTACGAACTTAACCTGCCTACTGGCAAAATATACATGTGTGCAAAATTTTAGCCTTCTATCTCAATTTGTTCGAAAGATAGCGTGATTACAACAGACAGACAGACAGACAGACAGACGGACAGGGCTAAATCGTCTTAGAATTTTACGCTGATCAAGAATATATATAGTTTGTTGGGTCTGACGTGAGTATTTCGAGGAGTTACAAACGGAATGACAAAATTAGTATACCCTCCATAGTATGGTGGAGGGTATAAAAACTACAGTTAACAAGTTAAAAAGCAGTAAGTTCTGCCGGGCCGAACTTTTAATACCCTCCACCATTTGCAACGAATTTGGAAATGTTTAAAAAATAAAATCCTTAACAAATTCTTTTAAAATTTTAAAAATACCGAATATAGCCGTTATATTGGGGTCTATACGACGTGGACATACATACGCATTGTTTGTCATAAGCCATTACCATATTCAAATTCGAA